AATATGTGGAGAAAAGGGGCAGAAATTTAGGTGGGAACCATCAGGTTCTATAGGAGTTTTGGTATTTCATGTTCATATTTTCGTCATCAGTTTTGTGTATATTTTAAAGGAATAAATGTATGCTCTAACTATATACACAGATCTCTGCTGCAGATAGGGATGTAATGATCACAAACTAGGATTTTCACTAACAAACCATTATATGCTAGTACATTAATAATGATGCCATTAAGCTGCATTTATCCCCATGCTAAATTTCCACAGGACATAATGTACTTCAAACATAAGAGAAGACAAAAATTCCCACTAAAACAAGACTAACTGGTAACAAACAAGATGTTACTGTTTATGTGCATATTGGCGCTCCAAAAATATGAGACACATGTACAGATACAAGGGGCCAGAACCTGCTTTCAGGATAACCCCTGTGCACTACTCAGGCAGCTGAAACTTCCTTTGGTGGGAGGGAAACCCCTGGTGGCACAAGGCCAGCATAGCCCCTAGTGTAGAAGTGCAGGTTGGTGGCATGCTGGAGTGAAGGGGAGGTGGCTGGAGTGCTGCTTCAGTCTGGGAAGATGGATCACCAGTTCACAAAAGTTAGAGCAGCTTTGAGACTGCTCTAACTTGCACTGGAGACTGACCTAGACTCTGGTTTCTCCCTGCCACTGTCCAGAAGTTAGGGGGCATAAGTGTGGCATAAAGCCATCTTTGCCTCTTTTGGGTTCTGTGCTGAAACCCAAGGACTGGGGCCAAAGTTTCTTGAGGATTTTGATTGTGAGGTCTTGGGGCCATCCTTCATAAGTATTTGGAAAGTATCCAGCACACAGTAGGCATTATTGTCAATAAATAATAATCCTGGGGGTTTATAGTCTAAATAATGGTGTGTGGTATAAAGCTTTTATTGCCACTCTTTGGAAAGAGCTCCACAGCTCATGAGTGATTTGAGAATCCCAAATTTATGGCAATAAAAAAATTGATAGCACAGATCATCAGTGTAATAAATGTAGATCCATGGGATAACTGTATATATCATGCACTTTTAAAGGCCTCGCCTGCACTCTGTCCACTAATCTATTTTTGCTGGGATGACTATTACTTACATTCCAAACCTACTAGCAGCTTCAAACAGACACAATTTATATAAATAAAACTGCCAGAGAAATATTTACCAAGATCATACAGAGCCTGATCCAAAGTATTGGGGTAGGAGTCTTTCCATTGACTTCAGTGGGTTTTGGATCAGGTTTATTCTTTTTCCCTCCTACTTGAAAAACAAAATGACGCCCATTTCTAAAGAAACCAGCACTGTAGGATATAGGTGCCACTGCCAAGAATCTGGTTCTGAGAAACAGACAGACCTTTATGTTCACAAAAACATTAATTTCAAATATTTCTAAAAAAGTAAATGTGTTTCCATACAGACAATTTTTAAATTCTGCATTCAAGGATGATAATTTTGGGACATTTTGTAGTGCTTTACAGCAAAGCTGTAGTGAGGGAAAAGCCAATAGCCCATTACTTAAATTTAGGCTTGACAGAATTCCATTTTTTAAATAAAATTTCTACTGATTGTATCAATGCTTTTTAAAGTATTTTTTCTTAATCTATTTAAATTTTCACAGTTGTGGGAAGTTATGGGAGGGTGTCAGACAAAGGGCAGACAATTATTTTAAGTAGATGACCTTTCACTTTTTCCAATCTCTATAACTGTGAAAACAAAATTTCAACATTACACATCAAAACATACAAAGTACGTACACTTAAATTCTAACAAGTCCTTAAGCATTTTTCTTACTTTGTTTATCCATAAATGTAGATTGATGGAAATATTTTTTAAATTGGTTTGCGTGTATATATGGTGAAACTGATATTTACCAACAAAAATCTAATCCTTCCAAGCCTATTCAAATTGTAAACTCTATGGGGAAGGGTCTATCTTTTTGTTTTGTAGTTGAACAGCACCTAGCACAATAGGGTTCTGACCCATAATGGGGACTCTGAGGTACCACCACCACAAATGTAATAGCAATGTTGGAAAGGTATTCTACAGCAAGTGATGAGGCAGGGAAAGTTCTGCTCCGTTCTGCTGGATCACGCTCAATGCAAATGGAATCTCATGGGAATTTAGCTGCTAAATTCTAAGAAGTCTTTATAAAGCATGTGTGAACTGGATTTTTTTTCTAAAGGCTTTTAACTTGGCCAAATTTGGGCAGATTTTTATAACTACAACAAAAAGCACAGCCCAGACACAAAGGCCAATTCCTTGGAAAATCTCTAGTCTTTAATGGAAAGTATGGGGTGCTGGAGTTTTCAAACAAAAAAATCACCAGAATTTTTTAACATGGGCAAAATGTGTATTTCCCTAGCTGCCTTATCAGAAATTGCAGACCCATTTTGGCTGACATTTTCCAACAAAACTCATGCTGAGACAGATACGTGGGATAGAAAAAATTCAGTCAATGTTAAAGTTTGGCAAAGTTATAAGGTACTGAAAACAAAGGTCTTAAAATGGGAAGTGTCAGGCAATCTTAACAACAGGTGGTGCTACCAGCCCCGCCTATAATATTTCAGTTATACTCAGCAATGTTACTTTTACCCAGTCAGGTAAAGGAAAACCATCTTTTTCTTAATGCATTGTGACAGGTAGTAAAGCACTATTATAGCTAACAGATGTGATTTCAGTACTGGATTATTTCTGGTAGTATTTGAAGCCTGTACACCTTGAATGTTTGTAAAAGCTGTAGAAATAATAATACACAGGCATGCTCATAATGATATTCTGTTCTAAAATATAATTTCTACCCACATCCCATTTGAATCCCACTGACAAAATACTGCTTCCAGTACAAGGACTGGTGGTTTAGGACAATACTAACCTCTTCATGACAACGACATTAACTATAGTATCATTTTGGCTTTAATCTCCCACTAACTTCAGTGGCAGCAGGTTTATGCAGTGGCTTGGACCTTTTAGAATACAGTGCTGTGTACCTTCTGGCTTCAGTGGGAGCATAGCAGGAGCAGGCATAAAATGGACAGTTTCTATATTAGAATTCTTTAAAATGAGTGCTTTCTGTTTTAGCTCAAAAAGCCCTATGAAAGTGACATTCCAACCCATCTATAATTTTGGGCATCTGCTTTTTCTCTTTTACTTTATCCATCTCTAGATCTGTGGGTGGTCATGGTATCCTTGTCTGGGCAGCTGGTACATACATTTTCAATCAAACTCTTGTCAGTTGATCTTTATGAACTGGTTAGCAAAGGAAACTCAAAAAGGGGAATGCCTTTCCTCCCCCTTTTGATATCAAATTCTTTGCTCCTGCGATGTCTGCTCTCCCTGCCTCTTAGAGCAAGGCCTCAGGACTGCAGCACTATGTGAGTCTACCACAGCAACACAAAGTTCTCCTGGTGGGTGGCCTGACAAACCATATTGTTTGTGTATGGAGCTGTCTAGGTCTCTTACTTCGGGGTCAGGTTCTGATGCTACTCAGTGAGTAAAGTAGCTTTCTACAGGAGTGATCCTATTAATTTCAGGGAGACTACTTATTCAGTGAAGTATTTTTCAATGCAAGTGAGGGTATTGGAATCTGACCATTAGAAAACGGTTAATATACAGTATACAGACATTTCCTCTAGTTCTTTTACCAGTTGCACACTTAAGTAGTTTCCCATACCATGGTGGAAAGAAATAGCAATAAACTGTTAATGTAGCTGCTGATAAATGAATGAAGCTGAGATTCAATAAGTGCCTTCCACACTGTGCTTGAGGGTTTAAAATAGATTACAATTAAATATGTATGTGAAGAAAGTGTTCCCAGACTCAAATGCTATGTTAGCAATATATTTTTCAGCACATAACCGAGCAATTCAGATTAAAATTACACCTGCAAGCACCATAATATCACAATCAGAAACCAATGGTATAAACTAAAAACTGCCTTTAGGGAGACAAACTAAAGTGATTCCATTCATCACGGAGGAAACTGCAAAATAATGGCATCTAAAGTAGTGTTTTGCTGAATTTGCTCATGGATAATGTTTCTTATTAATTCCTGTTTCTCCAGGCACTGATATATGAATCTAGGTAAGAAACAATGGGAAAGATTCAGATATTCTACAAGAGTAAGGGTAACACCTCACTCCATGAATAATCCTATTGAAATCATGAATAAGGGAATCAGAATCTGGCTCAGTAGAATAGAGAGCTAAATTCAACTGCATATATTTCAACTGAGTGACCAAGAGACGAATGAGTTCAATATACAGTAGTTAATCACATTAGCTTCAGAAACAAAGTTACATGAGGTAGTTTAATGCTGATGCTGAAATAAAGACTTTTATATAGCAATTGCCTAATATGATTTGAAAGGAAAATTGGACAGTTTCACAGATTTGCTGTCACGCACACAATACCGCAAAGAAAGTATGCAGTTAGTTTGTTCAGAAGTCTTGGAGGGGGAAAAAAGGCAGCGTTTGCAGGACAACATGCTGTGGTTCAAATAGCAGCACACTGTGCTGCTTTGCATCTGTCCCAACAGCAGGGCTCAGAGTTGAGAGTTCAGCATTTGGAAAACTTTACAGGAAACATTTTAACCATATATGTATGAAATACGTGGTCTAATATAATAAACTAATTGTTAGCAAGAGTAATTATAGAATTACACCTTCATTTTCTGAGATTGCCAAAATAGTGGATTTCACTACAGGACCCAAAACCTTTTGTTGAATTTAATCAAATGATCCCTTACAAAGAAGTATTTTGAAAGAACATTAGTCTTTTAGAATATACCCTTGAAATGTTTTAAGCCAATTATCACCCCCCCTCCCCCAAAAGCAGAAGATAGCATAACTTCAGTTTATCTCAGCATCATCTATGTCCCATAAAATCAGACTATTTGCTTAATATACTGTGCACCACAGGATCTTAATGGTATCATACTTAAATTTGACATTAATAAAACTATTGTTTGAGAAGTCAAGAAACTTTCTTTGGTACTTACAGTCTTTAAATACAAGGGCAGGGTCTCTATGAGGCAGTACTTGGGCAATTAAATATTGCAGAGACTCCAAGGTTCTGTCCATCCTGGTTCTGCTTTTCCGGAGTGTACCCACAAAGTGTCCTCATGCCTGAATTATTCCAGTTCTGTACTGATTTTGTGCAGTTCATTGATGCTCTGGATTACTAAAGAATCTCTTTGAACATCTGCCAATCAGACATTGCCCAGAATCAAAAGATTCTTGAGGGGGTCCTCCTCCCTGGCTCACTTATCTTTGTTATATGCTGAGCTAATTAGCTGTAAAGGCAGGCTGACAGGCTTATTCCTACTGCTTCCTTCTGTTAAACACACCCACCTACAGGCTAGCTGGAGAAGCTAATCATGTGAAAGACATTTCTCTTTCATCCAGGCATTGACTGAATGTGCTGAAACAGACATAGTTTTGGTTTCCGCTGAATTAGTACAAGGTTTTCCCTCCCCGTACTCTTGGAATGTTAGGACGAGACTGAGAATTCATAAGGTTCTCATTAGACAACCCAGCTAAAGTTCTGTAGAACTCTCCAGAGAAATATTAGCAATGAAATAACCCAAAGAGACATTCATTTTAAGAATAAAAATCGTATAGGTTCTTCTACATTACTAGGCCAAACCGCAGGTGGAAAAAATTTAATTGAATTAGGCAGAAAAATTAAGCTATTTGTGATGAGTTTTGTTGAACATGCAATTTAACTTGATGTTTTGTTGAAGTATTTCCCAATTAATCTACCTGGATACAGGGGTTAGGAAATAACAATTTGCCATGACAACATTTATGGTAATGCCCCTCTACACTGCTTTTTTTTGTTTTGAAAATACTAGGAAAAAAATTGAGAACTTGACAAGTATATGGGTGCATAAGAAAATTAATCTCAAAATTAAACTATAGAAATCTGATACAAACGTCCAGGTATTATAGATTAAAATGTGAATAAATTGAACTATATTTACATATTTATCTGGGACAAAGTATAGCATCGATGAAAACAAACCCTTAAAGCAAGGAGAAAGTAGCCATCTTGTCAATAAGGATAGCCCCTTCTCCATTCTTCTTATATTTCCAAAATGATTCATTTTCTTGGTGATAGGAGCCACATTTCTTGACAGGTATCATTATAAAACATTTCTGCGTCTAATTACTTGGAAGTTTTAGGCACATATTGTATTGAAAGTTAAGTATTCACTCTATAAGAAATGACTTTTTGTTTGCTGTGCATTTATTTTCAAGAGGCTTGATTGGTTACAAAACCACAAAAGTGCTAAAGTTACCTTAAGTGCAGTCATTTAAATCAATACGATAAAATCAAGACACTCATTTTGCTCCTAAATACGTGAATTTGTTAAGACTGTCAAGAACAGTATTGACTTAACCTCTACGTTTCCCAAAGCTCACTCTAAATAAAGTAAACTTTGTTTGAATGACCACATATGAAACATAAACTGAGCACTGCAAAGTTCAGTCTTGTGTAAACTTCATCATGACCTTTGATGACATCAGATATTTCAGGAATTCTGCTGCTGACCAAAAGAGAGGTTTAATAAATATATATTAAGCTATAACTTTGAGGTTCAGTTCTTCCCTCACTAACTCCAGTTTCTGAAGAGATATGTCTATCCAAGTACACTGGCAGAATAAGTAAAAAGGATCGCTTATGGCCATCCATCAATATTTCAAAGACATGTAACACCCCTTGCAAATGTTAAAGTATGGCAATACACAATTAAGGTCACCCAAACTACCTTAACCCTGCTCCAGTATCACTGACCATAGCAATATCAAGAGACAATTCTCAAACCTTTATCACATCAATAACCTGAAAATCATGGACTTCCTTACTTTGGTAGAGAGACTAATAAAATACTGTGGACTGTAAGCTGAAGTGCACGTGTCTGTTACATCTCTTCAGTACACTGCTACTGCTTTGTTTAAGACCATATGCAGCTGCTGGTAGATACAAGCGGTTACAACTTTTCACCAAGTGACCACATTAAGGACAATTCCCCACTGCAAATAAGATTTCAAGAGTGAAAGTGGTCATGCTGTGAGACTTCATAGCATCACTATTAATATTGCTACACTGCAATTAAATATCCACAGATGGCTGCGTCAGCTCCGGCTGAGCCATAAGTCTTTTATTGCAGTGTAGACACACCCTATATCTGAGGCTATAACCTGCTGATGGGCCAAAATCCAAATGGTAGTTTGCATACCAAGAGCACAGGGTAGAGGTGTATATATATGTATGTATCAGACGTGCTTACAAAATCAACATATAATCAAGAGTTTCTTGACTTTACAAACTATGGAAGTACATTAAAGATGTCTATAGCCACAGACTGTAAATTTCAAATTCATATCAAATTCTCCTTCGTAAGGTCTCTGTCAGGGTTCCTTCCCCACTCTGAACTCTGGGGTACAGATGCGGGGACCCGCATGAAAGACCCCTAAGCTTCTTTTTACCAGCTTAGGTTAAAAACTTTCCCAAGGCACAAATTCTGCCTTGTCTTTGAACAGTATGCTGCCACCACCAAGTGATTTAGACAGAGAACCAGGGAAAGGACCACTTGGAGTCCTATTCCCCCAAAATATTCCCCCAAGCCCTACACCCCCTTTCCTGGGGAGGCTTGAGAATAATATCCTCACCAATTGGTACAGGTGAACACAGACCCAAACCCTTGGATCTTAAGAACAATGAAAAATCAATCAGGTTCTTAAAAAAAAAGGTAAAAGAATCACCTCTGTAAAAATCAGGATGGTAAATACTTTACAGGCTAATCAGATTCAAAACACAGAGGATTCCCCTCTAGGCAAAACTTTAAAGTTACAAAAAACTGGGATAAACTTCCCTCTAGCAAAGGGAAAATTCACAAGTTGAAAACAAAAGGTAATCTAATGCACTTTACCTTATTTACTTACTCTTTTTGTACTATCAGAGACTTGTACAGGATGGTTTATAGGAGAAGGAGTTTTTTGACCTGATGCTACTCTGCTTTCCCCAGAGAACACACCAACAAAGCCTCCCCCCCACCCCAAGATTTGAAAGTATCTTCTTTCCTCATCAGTCCATTCAGTCAGCTGCCAACCAGGTTATTTGAGCTTCTTAACCCCTTACAGGTAAGGAGGAATTCTAGGCTACCCTTAGCTGTGGTTATGACAGTCTCTATCATACAGACAATGCATGGGTGGGGATGCAAGGTCGAAGGAAAATGTGAGAAGAATTAAGGTTGTTTGGGTGAATGTACTTCTACTCTTTCTAGTTTTATTTTAAAGTGTAACTTTATCTTTGACTTTTCAGGCTAACCTTTCCGATTTTCCCACAGAAACTACAGTGTTCTCTTAAGGGCTTCCCGCATAAATCAAAGACATAATTTTTTTTTTTTCTGGCCTCGCCATTAGGCTTGCTTAAAGTAGGGATTATCAACCTTTCTTCCTGAGCAGCCCGCACCCCATGCTAAAAAACTCCACTGCCCACCTCTGCCACAACTGTTTTTCTGCATATAAAAGCCAGTGCCACGGTTAGGAGGTAGCAAACAGCACAACTGCCTGGGGCTTCATGCCGCAGTGGGCCCCACAAAGCTAAATTGCTCAGGCTTTGGCTTCAAACCCAGGTGCAGGGCTCAGGGCCCCGGCAATTCTAATGCCAGCCCTGGTTGGCAGAATCCCTGAAGCCGGCTTGTGGACTCCCAAGGGTTGAGAACCACTAGCTTGAAGGATGATGTTTATGTTTGCCCAAGATTTTCAAAATGCATGAGCAAATTAGATGCTGAAAGTTATGATAATGTTCTTTGATATATAGTTTCCAGAATCATCTGGAACAGGCTAGAGTTGTATTTATTGGTAACTGAACAGGCATATTCAGAGTCTGAGTGCCTTCCAGACCTATGCAACATCGTTCTTATTACTCGTCTTTCCGGGCAAGATTTATAGAAGCAGCCTTGGAGTGAGTAAAATAAATGAGAGTTGCTAGGTTCAAAGATCTCTTATTAACTTACGGTTTATTAATCTTTGTACAGGTACAAAACCCAAATTCTTGCAAAGGGTGAAAAACTACTTTGTTTCTGACTGTTTTCAGGTGCACGTGATACAGATTCTTCAAAAGACCTCTGCTTATAAATCAGGGACACGTTGAATAATTTTGGTTGTCAATTTCTTTTCATTGCAAACATGTTTTAAGAAGAAATACTTCACGGATAGTTTTCAGACTAAATATCCACAGTGAAATGTGCCTATAAGAGATACTGTAGGCCATTATTCCAGTTTAATCATCTTAATTGGAGTCCCTAATTTAAAAATTAGGTACAATCATAAGTTTTACAAACAGTTTCAAACTACAAAACAAAAAGACAAGGTTACAATAGCAAGAATGAAATTTATTGACTATAGATATAAACATTCCAATTTCCAAAAAAGCAAGTACATAATCTATGCATCATGGATAAAAATACTGGTACTCCATTGGAAGTTATAATGCATTAGCCCCAGAAACTAGCAGCATCCAAAGTTGACTTAATATTGAACATATTTTCTCGACGCTGTTTGGTATAAACATTTGCCTCTCCTTTCTGTAACCGCTGTCTCAGAGCAGCTTTCTGCTGTTTAGTCAGCTGACGTTTTATCTTCCGTTTCACCAGTTCCTAAAAATAATTAAACCACAAGCATCAGTATTGTTTATATGACATGTAACATTTTAGGACATACTAGTTTATATTTACACAGTGCTTTCCCACCCGAAAGTGCTTTATGCACGGATATTTAAAAAAAAAAAAAAAAGGTGATGTTTGGTGCCTGGAGACTGTCTTTTTAAATGAAAAAAAGTTACCTTGTGGATATTGTAAGTCCTTGGTACACCGGACCCTTGCTAGAATGTGCGTCTATATGGCAAAAAGAAAAGGAGGACTTGTGGCACCTTAGAGACTAACCAATTTATTTGAGCATAAGCTTTCGTGAGCTACAGCTCATTTCATAGTGCAAATTTGCATATAACGCGGTTGCGGCCATGGACCCCAACATTTAATTGCAATTCATTTTAATGCAATCCCTGCGTTAAC